TAACTTAAAACAGTGTCTTAACGGGCAGTCTCACACACAAGAAGTTCTAGGAACCAAACCCAGGACAAACGGGAGCATTTTAGCATTGAGGAATTTATTTAACATTTTTAAAAGGAGTTGTCATGTGTGTCTGCAAAAATGGGAAAAGAAAGGCAAGTGGAGAAAGGGGTAATAATAAAACTGGGCTAAAACATGCTTGAGATTCTCCTGAAGGTACTGCTGTTGTGCTGCTTAATGCTCCTGTTGTACTTATAGGGTGGGTCAGGTGATCTTGACATAGAATGATGATGCTAAAACTCGCAGTTATTTTTTCCTCCATTTGATTTAAAGAGTAAAACTGACTCAGATTATTTTTGTTTGGAATAGCTAAAAAACAGTAATGCATGTTGCTTCCTGTTGGTCTTAAAAAAAAAAAAGTGTCAAAAGCATCCTTCACACTGGCATTACGCATATATTGAGAAGGATTATGTATATGATACAAATCTCCTTTATTTCACTTTTAAAAAATCTGTTTTCTTTTTCCGAAAGCTTTCCTCAGTTTGTGGTGCTAAAGGATGGTGCCTCTACTTATTTTCTTTAGACACTTCCGTATTTATATAACGTGAGGAAAGTTTGATTGTTTCTTACTATGTTTTGATATTAGTGTGAACATTTGCTTGTGTAATGGTGTTACTGACTTCCACTGCACAGTAAGTGCAGTCATATTTAGAAGTAAATGTCCATCTCCAGTGTTGTATTTTACTGTGACAGCTGTCATAGAATGAGTGACAGTTCAGTTGCCAGCCTCGCTTTCTGTCCACCTGCTCACAGTATCTGGATGATCTTCAAATTGAATTAGTACACAGGCTTCTAAACCAAAAGCGGTGAAAATGACCCAGGAAATCAACAGCATTTTTATTCCCTCAGAATGCCAGACATTCAAATAAGTCAGCTAAACTTACATTGTATACTTTTTCCACTCTCATCTTTCTATGCTCCTCTCTATTGCTTTTTCTTTCTCTTAATATGTTAATATCTTTGCCTTTTTTCTTTCAAGAACTCTTATTTTTTTTCTCTGTACTGTTATAGAAAGCAGTTATTTCAAATATGTGTTAGGCACAATAAAAATGCTTTTCATCAGATCTTTTCTTGTTCAGATTGGGTTTTTGCGTTTGCATAATGCAGGTATTTAATTTCAGGATAACAAAAATTGAGTCAGCAGTTTTGACAGCAGGCCTCTCCATAAGGCGTGAGCTGTACAGCAATTCTGCCTGGTCTGTATGGTTTATAAACAGTGGATCAAACCCTTAACGCCATGGATAGATTCAGACTGAATATGAATAGTTTATAGAGAAAAGGTTTGCCCAGATTTCCTGTGAGCTGTCAGAACACTGTTGGTTTATATTCACTGCATTCCTAGCTCATTATTTCTGCACAGAGCAGTTTCACTAGGGGTTATAAACTTCAGCCAGGTTCTGTATGTCCACAAATTCTTTACTAGAGTATGGTTGTCCTTTTAAATTGTACAGGGCACATCTGACAGTTTATAAAATGCTCATTGAATTAGCACAGATTCTCAGATGAGAAGACAATTAATTGGTCTGGGGAGAACGACTGTACCACTTGAATGTAGGTTTTTTAGGCAAATGCTATCAGGAGGAATTTGGAATTTTGTTCTGAAAAATGTTTTGTAAAAGAAGTACAAGTGCCCAAGATCATGCAGGAAGTCTATAGCTGAGTGCGATGCTGAACCCAAGATCTGCCACAGCTTATTTTAGGCCATCCTTCCCATCAGAGTTTTACAGAAGTATCTTTATTTCAGAGATTGTATCAGCTGTGTGGGTAGAAAAATGGATTTTTATTTCTCTCCTTAACTGTCAAGTCCTGTATTTTCGATGATTTTTTTTTTTGTTGAATAGTAACTAGTAACTTCATCAAAGTGTGGGGGTTTTTCCTTTTGTTTTAGACTGATGTTCTACATTGTTCTGTCCAAAGAGCTGTGCAGGTCACTTATTTTTCGCTGATGTGATGCTGTAGAGACACATTTGAAATCCATTTCTTGTAGTTTTTCTTGTAGCACACTTAGGTGTTGAAGTGCTGAAAAGAAACTAACTCTTGAATAATTTTCACCTAATAAGTAGCTTTTGAAGTGCAAACACAATCAAATGTTAAACCTTTATCTCATTTATGAACCAGACACTTCTAGTTTGAGTCAGTTTTGGGTTTTAGAGGAGAGAGAAGGGCCAGGGATATGCCCATTTTCACAGAATCACGTAATCATAGAACAGTTTGGGTTGGAAGGGACCTTTAAAGGTCATCTAGTCCAATTGCCCTGCAATGAGTAGGGACATTTTGCTCAGAGCCCCATCCAACCTGACCTTCAATGTTTCTAGGGATGGGGCATCTACCACCTCTCTGGGCAACCTGTTCCAGTGTTTGACCACCCTCATCGTAAAAAATTTCTTCCTTATATCTGGTCTAAAGCTACCCTCTTTCAGTTTAAAACCATTACCCTTTGTCCTATTGCAACAGAGCCTGCTAAAAAGTTTGTCCCCATCTTTCTTACAAGCCCCCTTTAAGTACTGAAAGGCTGCAATCAGGTCTCCCCTCAGCCTGCTCTTCTCCAGGCTGAACAGCCCCAGCTGTGTCAGCCTTTCCTGATAGGAGAGGTGCTCCAGCCCTCTGATCATTTTTGTGGCCTCCTCTGGACCCACTCCAACAGGTCCATGTCTTGCCTGTGCTGAGGGCTCCAGAGCTGGACGCAAAACTCCAGGTGGGTTCTCCCCAGAGCAAAGGGGCAGAATCCCCTCCCTCGACGCTGCTTTTGATGCAGCCCAGGATATGATTGGCCTTTCTGGGCTGCGAGCGCACATTGGTGGCTCATGTCCAGCTTTTCATCCACCAGTACCCCCAAATCCTTCCCTGCAGGGCTGCTCTTAATCCCTTCATCCCCCAGCCTGTGATGATAATGGGAGTTTTTCCAGCCCAGGTGCAGGACCCTGCACTTGGCCTTGTTGAACCTCATGAGGTTCACATGTGCCCCCTTCTTGAGCTTGCTCAGGTCCCTCTAAATGGCATCCTGTCCCCCAGGTGTGTCAACCACATCACTCAGCTTGGTGTCATCTGCAAACTTGCTGAGGGTGCACTCGATCCTACTGTCAATGTCACTGATGAAGATACTAAACCGGTCCCAATACGGACTGCTGAGGGACACCACTTGACATTGATCTCCATCTGGACACTGCACTGTTGACCCTCAGGATCAACAACCAATTCCCCATCCACTGAACAGTCCACCCATCAAATCCATCTCTCTCCAATTTAGAGAGAACATGTTATGGGGAACTGTGTTAAAGCCTTACAGAAGTCCAGATAGACGACATCAGAAGCTCTTCCCTTGTCCACTGATGTAGTCACTCCATCATAGAAGGCCACTAGTTGATCAGGAGGACTTGCCCTTGGTGAAGCCATGCTGGCTGTCTCGAATCACCTCCCTGTCCTCCATGTGCCTTAGCATAGCTTCTACGAGGATCTGTTCCATGATCTTCCCAGACACAAAGGTGAGGCTGAGAGGTCAGTAGTTCCTGGGATCCTCCTTTCTACCCTTTTTAAAAACGGGTGCAATGTTTCCCTTTTCCCAGTCACCAGGGACTTCACTGGACTGACGTGACTTTTCAGTTATTATGGAGAGTGGCTTTTCAGATACATCAGCCAGTTCCCTCAGGACTCTGGGATTTTCTCCTGATAATTTTTTAATTATGTTTTTCAGCACTCCAGGCTGTAGTTCTTAATATTCTGTGAGTGCTGTAATGTAAGCACTGTAACAGTACAGACAGAAGGTTCTGTATTTTGCCATGTTCGAAGAGTGAAGATGTTGGATAAGTGGTGATAGTGTACTCTTTCTAGGCTCATCTGTTTAGTGGCTTGGCAACTACATCAGCCAGTTCCCTCAGGACTCTGGGATTTTCTCCTGATAATTTTTTAATTATGTTTTTCAGCACTCCAGGCTGTAGTTCTTAATATTCTGTGAGTGCTGTAATGTAAGCACTGTAACAGTACAGACAGAAGGTTCTGTATTTTGCCATGTTCGAAGAGTGAAGATGTTGGATAAGTGGTGATAGTGTACTCTTTCTAGGCTCATCTGTTTAGCTTTATTCCAATTTGCTGTTCTTGTCAGCAAAATAAACATTATGACAAAGACATCAGCTATCATGTTTCATTCCTTAATGTCTTTGGTTCTTGTGGAGGTTGGTTATTTACAGCACTGAGCTGAGAATAGTCGTAAGAACATTTTTATTTTGTATTAGCTGTGAAAGCATATAAGACCATGATTTTTCTCCTTGTTAAATCAGGTTCATTCGCTGTTAATCACTTTGGTCTCTCACAGTTGCAAGAATACAAATTTCCAGTCTTCTTTTAAACTGTTGAAATTGAAGCGGAAATTTTTCAGTGAAACAGTCCAAATGGTGCTATAATTCTTTCTCATCTCTGAGCTGGACCATTTCTTAGGAGAAAATGCACTGTTAATAGAAAGACTTGCTATTTCATGTGAAAACATCTTACACAGCAATCTCTCTTTATCATATACCTGCATACTGCTATTATTGGCATGCGTGCCTGCTTTTTATTGAGTTGCACCTGACTCGCGCATGCAAAGCTGCCTCAGTGTTTTGTAGGTGGGAACAGAGTGTTCTCAGCACAGGAAAGCAAACCAAACACGTCTCCTACAGCCTGGTAGAGATGGTCACAATCCTACAAGGAGCATGGTACATTATAATTTTCAGTCTTTCCGGAAGGTACTACTGTGACACTGTATAAAATCATGGGTTTAACAAGGTAAAGGGGGAAACTCTTTATTCACACTTTTTTTTTATTTTACATTTGAAGTTGTTTTATATGATTCTTGGGCACGGATGCTGAAGTATTTCCTCCCCAGTTTCCAAATTACTAAGTGCTCTGACCTATATTATTTTTCAAGAAAATTTATGTTTCAGTCCTTCAAACAATGTTTTGCTTTCTAGGAATCCAGTGTGAAATTGCTGCAAAAGCAGGGATGATTATACAAAGAGTAGTGCTGAATTCACGCCCTGGTATGTATTGCTCTCCAATAAAGGAGCAACATGTTTGTTATGGTTGCCTAATGCTCAAAAATGGTGAGGGTAGAAACAGACACTAACTTAAGATACTGACATGTATATATCTTAATATTGCATGCAGCATAAGGTTTACTGTGAAGTGTATTTATTTAGTCTGTATATACAGGTTTCTAAACTCTTGGGTCGGAAAAAAAGGGTTAACGCATAGTATATGATAAAGCTCTAAGTGTAGGGAGTCAAAGTGAAGAAAGATTAGCAAGCATGGCTTTTTAGTTATGACATTTGTTCCTTTGGCATTTTAAGAGATGACTGAAGTAAAGTATTTTGTTACTATTCATTTTTGTTTCATTTTAGTAAATATTGAGTCTTTTATTCCTCCCATGTTTCAAAGAGTTTTTTAAATTTACACTTTTAAGGATTTGTTTACTTCCTTGCTTACACATTTGCCTTATTATGGCTGTCAGCACAATGTTTTTAATAAGGAGTATATAAATTGTCTGTTGTAGAAGACCTGCAGATGTGTATTAAGTTTTTTGAAGGGTATTGTATGGTGCCTAATGCCAAAATAGTCCTAGGAGGTAAGAACTATTGTGTGACCTGCAAATAAGTCCTTCCTGATGCAGATCCAATGTTACAGCAGTAGCCTGCTGTAGTCACACAGTCACTCTGACTTAAAACACAGAATCATAGAATCATTTACGTTGGAAAAGACCTGTAAGATCATCAAGTTCAACCTAGCACTGCCAAGTCCACCACTAAACCATGCCCCTAAGTGCCACATCTACACATCTTTAAAATGTCTCCAGAGGCGATCACTCAACCACTTCCCTGGGCAGCCTGTTCCGATGCCTGATAACCCTTTTGGTGAAGAAATTTTTCCTAATATCCAATCTAAACCTCTCCTGGTGCAACCTGAGGCCGTTTCCTCATCCTATCACTTGTTACTTAGGAAGAATGACTGGCACCCACTTTGCTACAACCTCCTTTCAGGTGGCTGTAGAGAGTGATAAGGTCTCCCCTGACCCTCCTTTTCTCCAGGCTAAACACCCCCAGTACCCTCAGCTGCTCCTCGTAGGACTTGTTCTCTAGACCCTTCACCAGCATCGTTGCCTTTCTCTGGGCACACTGCAGCAGCTCAATGTCTTGCAGTGAGGAGCCCAAAACTGAACACAGTATTCGAGGTGTGGCCTCACCAGTGCCGAGTACAGGGGCACGATCACCTCCCTACTCCTGCTGGCCACACTATTCCTGATACAAGCCAGGATGCCGGTGGCCTTCTTGGCCACCTGGGCACACTGCTGGCTCATGTTCAGCCAGCTGTCGACCAACACCCCCAGGTCCTTTTCCGCTGGGCAGCTTTTCAGCTACTCGTCCCCAAGCCTGTAGCATTGCATGGGATTGTTGTGACCAAAGTGCAGGACCAGGCACTGAGCCTTGCTGAATCTCATACATTTGGCCTCGGACCATTGATCCAGCCTGTCCACATCCCTCTGCAGAGCCTTCCTACCCTCCAGCAGATCGACACTCCCACCCAATTTGGTGTCATCTGCAAACTTACTAAGGGTGCACTTGATCCCCTCATCCAGATCATTGATAAAGATACATACATGGGTATCTGGCTCTCTCCTTCTGGTACCACTGCTTCCAGTTGTCAGGTCTGATTGATCTGCATGTGGTGTCAACCTGAGGATAAGGCCTCTGGTTCTGGGGCTCTGGGCATACATTTTGTAGGTGTTTCTGGGGAAACCTTAATTTAAGGATGTCTGTCTGTAGCTGCAAATGGATGTTTTTGCAGCATATGTATACACTGTGGCAATGATCTGTGTTCCCCCACTAATCTCAGTGAATCAAGAGAGACTGTAAAAGGTCAGAGTGTAAAACTAAACTGGTTAAAATTTATGGTCATTTACTGCTGGCAAAATAGGACATGGTGGTTTTGTTATGCAAGAGAAGAAATCTCAGTGCATGTCTTTTTTGAAAGTTAGGGACTTTTCGGAACACAGGGTATACAGAACCATTTTTTGAGAATGAGAACAGCTCTTTTTTTTTTTTTTCATTTGTTGTAATTGTTAATAAAAATTATGTTCAGCAAGCAGCATGGAAACACTCAGTGCAAGTGCCTGGTACTGGCCCAGGTACACGTAACGCTGACAGATCAGCAGGTCTTCGGTTTGGTTGGTGGCAATGCACCCACTTAAATTATAGTCTGTGACACAAAATCTGAAAGTTGGTCAGTACTTTTATACCTGAGTAAAGGTACAAGCTAACTTATTTACAAAGAACTACCTTAAAAAAAGGCCTTCCCATATTGATTAAGGGAAGCTCTATATTGATTCATTTATTTGTTTGATTTTCAAATAATTCTAGGTAAGAATGGAGTGCCAGTGGCTGAAAACTTCCGACTGGAACAAAGTACAATAGCAGATACGATCCAAGTGGGACAAGTGCGTGTTAGAACCCTTTATCTCTCTGTGGACCCTTACATGGTAGGTGATGGACTTAGAACCAAGCCAGAATTTGTTTTTTAAAGTATCCTCAATTCTGTACCTGTCGGGATGTTTACCACCAAAGTTACCAATTGTAACACAAACATATCTCTAGTATAAGTTAGTAATTCTGTTCATTCTGATGGAGCTATATTGGGAAGGAATTTGGCATTAATGTGCCTGTGATATATATATAGGAATATGACTTTATAGGACCAGGAAGAGGCTGTGAGCCCTGGTATACCATTACAGATTTGTTTGTATCAGCTTTTTCTGAACTTTGCCTTTTTTATATACATTTTTAAACTTTTTTTTTGCCGTGGAAGGAAGTATTTTTCAGTTGAGGGGAGTGTGGGTAGAGGAGGAAGAATATTTCATGATGAAGCAAGAGAGGGACATGATCAGGCAAAAAAATTCTAGACAAAACATGGAAATTATTCAGGTTGAATGTTACTTAGCTATTACCAGTTTTGTTTATAAATGAAAGTCACATTTTCTCGGGTGGGTGATGTCAGGAGAAAAATGTGTCAAAACTTTGTAAACAATGGAAACGGAGAGAGGATTGGTGAATGAAGCCATAACCAGCACTTGCACCGAATTCTGCAAAACTGTAGAAATCACGTGGTAGGGAGAGTTGTGGGTTGAAATGGAAGTGAAGGTAGGAGGAGAACCAGACAGACCCAGTCTGCTAGTATGTAAAAGTTTACTATAAAGAGAATTCTGATCATTTGTTCCCTGCATAGATGGAGATAACAGAAGAGAAACAATCTTAACTTCAGGAAAGTAGGCTTAGCTTGGGAATTAAGGAAAAGTTTAAGCATCTTGAAGTACTAACTCAGGCTATGAGGGGAGATTAAAGAAAATACTTCAGCTTTCAAGATGTTTCATTGAACAGATCTCTGTCAAGGATGGTCTACACATATTTGACTGTTCTTCAGTGCATAGGCATGGACTAAATGACTTTTGGGTGGTTTTTTTGATCTTACATTTCTATGATTCAGCCAGTTAAAGAGTGGCATTTATAGAATTCTTGTCAGATGCAAGCTGGTTGCACGGCTGACTTTGAGGCAGCGCCTACAGAACATGTTGGCTTTGGTAATGCTGCTGGAGGAGATCAGAATGGTCCATCCTCCTTTTGTACTGAGCAAACAAGAGGGGAAAGAGGGATCTAAGAAAAAATGATGAATATTTGGGGCTTATTGAGGGATTTTTGAGTAGCCCTTTGTGTTTGAGGTTTTAAACATATCTCATCCCCAACTTCATTTGAACTCATAAACAAACCATGTGTTCTGCTAGAGCCTCTCATCAAAGCCTTGTCTTTCAGCGCTGCCGAATGAATGAGGATACGGGCTCAGATTACCTCCTGCCCTGGCAGCTGTCTGAAGTTGCTGATGGTGGGGGCATTGGGGTTGTGGAGGAGAGCAAGCATGACAACCTTGCTAAAGGAGACTTTGTAACTTCCTTCAATTGGCCCTGGCAGACAGTGGCAATTCTAGATGGAAGCTTGCTGCAAAAGGTAATGTAAATACAAAGCCCAGATTGTCACTATTTTCTTTTCCTAAGCATTTTTTTTTTTAATAGCAGCTAAAGATACTATTTCTTAGTCAAAAAAGAGCTAATGTTATTGGAGCAATTAAGTTGAAAGCGGAGAGGTAGTGTGCATTACGGATATTGTGTTGATCATCCTTGTGTAACACAGAAAATTATTGTAGTTTAAGAATGTATACTTTCCAATAAACTCCTTCCTTTAGGACCCTTTGCCACTGATCTGCAGTCACAATATTTGATTAAACAGTGTTATTTTATGTTTTATGATAGCATAGGGATAGTTCATCATTGCTGGAAACTTCTTATCTCCCAACTGCTTTTTGACACATAATGTAAGTTTTTGTGAGTGACATTGTTTAAAAACTTTTTCTAAAACTATGGAAATACAATCTTTGTTTCATTTTGTATAAACCTGTTATTAGGACAGAGCTAGTTTATGCTTGTCCCTACCAGTTGTACCATGCCTGGTAAATACCCTGAGTTAGCCTTCTATCCTCAGACAATTAAATAGCGAACAGCAAAACCTCACCTTAAAAAGAAATGACCACGTGTTTCTGTTTTGTAGCTTGTTCCACAACTTGTAAATGGACGCCTTTCCTACTTTCTCGGTGCAGCTGGCATCACAGGACTGACAGCCCTGTTAGGTATAAAGGAGAAGGGACACGTGGCTGCGGAGAAAGGGTGGGGGGGCGCCCCAGCCGGTGCCTGCGGCTCTTTGGCTGGCCAGGTAGGTAGGCTTAAGACATGCAAGCATACTCTGTTACCAGGTTTATCTTCTGAAACATGCTGGTTAGAAAACATACAGATAAAATCATTGCAAATGTGAGCGAGTATAACTCCTTGGGAATGGCCACTTTGACAGATTTGGTTCACACTCTCGCTGAGGAAGACTTTAGGTGTGATACTGAAGTTTCATGAAACTGGGACAGGAGAAAATGACCCAAGGTGATTACTTGTCATTAGCATAAACAAAGTAGATGGTATAAATACACATATTTGCTCTATATTTATATAGTAGTCTGCCATTTGAACACAGTCTTTGAGTTGACTGGCGACTTTCATTTTTTTCTTTATTAGAAAATAGTAAAAAAATGTAGTAAATCCTTCTTCATGTTGTGTTCCATGACATACTTTGTGTTTTGAGATTTACAGTCCTTTTATCCTCCTCAGCTCTGCAGAACCTGTTGCAGTGTGTTTATGTGTGTGTATGTGCATATCTACAAATATATATGTGTGTATACACACACATACATATATATGAACACAAGCACAATAGATACTAAGCAAGCTTAAGACATTGGTAAAGAGGAGCCATGAAGAAACAATGCATAAGCAAATCTATGAAGAATATATTTAAATCAGTTATTGTCCAATATTTTTGGCCTTTTATTATCTGTGTTACAGTACTTGGCAGATGGTGGTTTTATACTATATTTGTCTGTCCAGTGCTGCCAATCATTGGTGACTCCACAGACTCAACCTCCTACAGTCAGTGTGTATGGAAAGATGGCAGATTTTGATTGTACCTGCCCCTTCTCTAGGTGTAAGGAGGGAGTGACCAGACGCAATTGTGTCACATGAGATGGGAGCGTGCGCTGAACTTTGCTGCCTGGGTTTTAGTGGGATGAGGGGTAACTGTAACACATGCAAAGGCCCCCTTCCTCCCACTGCTACCTTTATGCAGATGAATGATCTAACTTCTCTTTACTGTTTGGGTTTTTTTGTTTGTTTGTTTTTAAACTCTGTGCCTGCAGATTGGCCGTCTGGAGGGCTGCTCTAGAGTGGTGGGGATCGCTGGCACAGATGAAAAGTGCTCCATTTTGGTCCAAGAAATGGGGTTTGATGCTGCTATCAATTACAAGAAGGAGGATGTGGCAGAGCAGCTACGTGAACTTTGCCCAGATGGTGTGGATGTTTACTTTGACAATGTTGGTGGAGACATCAGTGATACAGTTATAAGTCAGGTGATTATATCAGCTGTCAGGTTTATTCTAGTCATTCTCCAATGTCTGTGTGCCCAGCATTGAATTAATTCATACCAGAGATCAGCCTGCACTACAGCAGAGCAGGCTTTCCTCTTCATTGATCTAATCCAGGTGCTGATCCTGGTCTTGAGGAGAAATCAGATGTCTGAAATCAGTGCCTGTCATTTGGACTGGCCTGGCAGTATAGTAATAGAAACAATTTCTGCTTCTTGTCTCTCGATTCTTTGGCCAGGAGACTTGATAATATTCTAAACCTTGTGTGTCCGTGTAGTAATCTTGTGTTTTGTCCACTTTGGTTTTTTAGCTTCACAAAAGACCAGCTCTACTGGGCCTCCATAAAGACTCTTGACCAGCCCTGTTCATTGTTAATGTGAAACCACTTTGTCTCATGGCAGGGAGGCTTTGGTGGCAATGCCATCTCTGGGAGCTCCAAATCACAGCTGTGTCCAACAGCTGTATCAAACTTCTTTGTCCTATTACCCCTCTCCTCCTGACCAAAAGGGCATGCAGTAAGATAACAATTTCTTGTATTCCTTGTATTTAATGCCTTTTTACATTACACATAGGCTGTATAGCATTTATTTTTCCACTCTTGCCCTGCATTTATCTATTTGAATGTTGTCCAAGGTTGAATGGGACTGCCTGCAATTCTCCCACTCTTTGCTAGGAAATGTGGCTCTAAATAAGGATACCCATGTGAAAATTTTGCAGTGTAATCTATTGCATCTAGGGAAAATTTAGTTTCTGAGACCAAGGAATGTAATTTTTTGCACTTTGTGCTGTCTCAAACAGATGAATCAGAACAGCCATATCATCCTGTGTGGGCAGATTTCTCAGTATAACAAAGATGTGCCTTATCCTCCTCCACTGCCTCCTGACATAGAAAAAATACAGAAAGAAAGGAATATCACAAGGTACATTTCTCCTCCAGGACTTGTGACCAGGTTCCATTTAAATTGCGCACGTGATGTTGTGACTGATGTTTGGCAGGTAGTCTTTAAATTGGCAATAGGCACATGTAATTGGAACAGAATGTTGCTATACCAAAAGAGGAAACTATTATCACAACATCAGTAAATCCTTTCTCTCATGTTTGTCTGTATCAGCATAAAAAATGGGAAGAGATGTTATTACATGTTAACATAGTTGTCTGTTGTTATGCTTTGTTTGTGGTTGGTTGATTTAGTCCTGGAGACTCTGATGGATTCTTCAGTATGAGGGGAGGTGTTCCATGGTTCTGTTCTCAGATGTTCTGCAGAGTGCCTTCTCTCCAAGTGTAGTAGTTCAGGTAGAGAGAAAATCAAACATTTTTAAAGTACGGATGCAGCTGATGCAGTGATTGTATTGAAATGACATTTTTAGTGTTTGGAGTTTTTTTAGATAATGGGACTGTAGGTGTGACAGATATATACAGGTAAAACATTGATTTTTTTCATGACTCTGGGAATTGCTGAATCTCCTGTGAGGATTCAGGTGGAGCTAAGACAGAGATTAGGAGCAAAGTCTTAGGAGATTTTTTATTCATTGCACTGCAGAAAGTTGAGGCAACTTTTGATTTCTGTGCAAATGGATTGACCTCTTTTAATTAAAATTGTTTTCTTGTCCCTGTTACTGTTGTCTGCACTTTTTAAAAACAGATAAAAATACTAAAATACACAATACATAGTAGAAGAAAGTGGAGAGTTTAGTTAGTACATTGCTACAAGTAATTATCATTTTGATGATCATTTCAGTTTCTCTTGATTGCTATAGACAACTGTGATGGCAGGATATGCAAAATTTTGGGGAGCCTGGAAGTTAATTTATACTCACCATCTAGTTGCAGGTCCACTAATTCTTCTCCCTACCACAAAAAAAAAAAAAGGAAAAAGAATAGGGATTCGCTCACATTTTATGGACACTTGCTTATTCTGGCTTATTCTGCTTATACTTGACTTTTATTACTCTTCTTTCTGATACGTGAAGAGAATTACTTTTCTAAGTCCGATGTTGCTGTCAAGCTCCCACTGCAGGGAACTGTCTCCACAAGCTGGCAAAGCTCTGAGCTATATCTTGTCGTAATTAGTACTCATAGCCCTTCAGTTTCTATAATGTTGTTTCCTGAAAAGATTTGTAAAGATTTCAAAATATGCTTACCAACTTTTCTTAAATCAAGGCTCATTCTTTTCTTTTACAGGGAAAGATTCTTAGTGCTGAACTATATGGACAAACAAGAAGCTAGTATATTACAACTCTGTCAGTGGATCCAAGAGGGTAAACTGAAGGTTAGAACTTTTACATTTAATCTATGGCTTTTGGTACTATATCCTCAGATCACGGTCTGACTACAAGAAGTCCAGTTTCTTTGTCGCTGGCTCTCTTAATTGAACAGTTTTTCTTAAGAATATTTAAGTACAGTTGAAAGCGTATTAGGTAGCACTGTTTTAGTAGGTACTTGCTGAGGATGCTGTGACTGTAGTGTGACAGACTTTCCTAATTACATGCTGCTGATGTCTATATTCTTTCTTTTGGCATAGGGTGCAAGTGCTTCTTTACTTAAGGGATCAGACCTTCAAAAATATGTACTTTCAAATACCTGATTAGTTCGTGTCCTGAATGCTTTTGGAGATCTTGTCTGAAATTTTGTAAATTTTCCTGGGAAAATCCTGAGACATGAAATTTCAGCAGGGGCAGGGATGTTCCAGTTCTGACTGAAGAATTAAATTGCCTACATGTTTATTAGAAAGTATTCACTCCTCTCTTGAGGAAAGAATCTGGCCCGAACAGAGCACTGTCCATTGTAGCAAGAGCATTCTTTAGATTTTGATAGTTTCTGTGGCAGTTTCATGGTATGTTTCTAAGAAATGTTAATCTTGTTTGAAGAAAGCTAAAATGACTTGTTTGCATTGACAGGTCAGAGAGACCGTGGTAGAAGGCTTAGCAAACATTGGTGGTAAGATTTTTACACTGTTTTCTAAGAATAATAATCTGGTCAAGTACAGTGACAGTAGGGGTTGACTACTTCCTTTGTTTCATTTGCCAATTCAGATTTTTGTATTTTATCTAAACCATGATTTTTATGTTATAACAAAATATTTTTTTTTCCACAAGGTATTAGAATGTTCTGTGAGAAGATTATTTTATGTTAAAAAAATAATTGAAGATAAATTTTGAGATTTTGTTTTGTTTTGTTTTGTTTTACTGCTGGGGGGGAAATAGTTGTTAAACCACTACCTTAGCAGCTGATGATAGTCATCCTGATCTTACAGATTTAAGGTGCTGCCCATTTCTTAGAACTTGTGTGTAAGAAAATGGTATTTTGGAAACCTTGAACTTATATTTAAAAAAACCTAGTATCTAACAGTGCTTGTTACTGGATTTGCTAACAAAAAAATAAATTGAAAAGTACATGCAAGAAAGGGGAAAGCATATTAGAAATTGCTAAACAAAGTAAAAAATAATTTATTTTAAAGGAACAAAATAGCCTGTAGCCTGTTCAAAAAATCTGCAACAAAGAGAATATAAAAATGAAGGGGGTCTTGTGACTTCAGTGAGACAAAGCTAGAGAGCCAGGTGATTCAAGATGTGCTGTAAGAATTCTTCCCTTTCAAGTAACAGGGAAGAGAATGATTTAGTCCATTTAGTCTTTAGTCTCACAAGGTTGGAAACCAGGAGAATTAAGTGATAGCCAAATCTTACAGATATAAATTTATTCTAGTCACTACTTACTGGTATACATATGTATTTTGAAGGAATTTGATCAAATACAGCAGTGAATATTTCATACTTTGTTTACTCAAATATTTATTCTTCTGCACCAGCTTCTCACATTTATTGTACTACATAGAGTATTTGAAAACCTTTTGCTCTTACAAAGGTTTATGAAACTCACAGCATTTGTGGGCTCTCCAGTCGTGCCTCATCGTTCTGTTCGGTATTCGTATGGCGTATTACAAAAACAGCAAATGTAATCATTAACTTGTATAGGGCCAAACAGTTGCTTACAAATCACTTTTTAAAATTATTATACAAAACTGCCCTGAGCAGTTTATTACAGACTAGCTTTTTTTTTTTCTTGTTAATTTAACATGTCATTGAGGATAAATGTGTTTAGGTCCAAAATGTGATCTTTCCTTTTTGGGTAACTGTTTAATACATTTGCTTCTAGAATTTTTTTTTTTTCTTTTTTGGAAGTTACTTGGCACATTTTGCTTGTCACTAACTTATTTCATTATTTCTCTTGGAGCCGCTTTCCAGTCCATGATGAGTGGAGGCAATATTGGAAAACAGATCGTCTCAGTTTCTAAGTAAAAGTCATTGCTTCAGGAAAAATAATTGGATTCTGTCTCTAACAGTGAGCAAGTTTTTACTTATCCTAATTTCCATTTTCTGAAATAAGCCATTAAGTTGTTCTGTATCTACTGAAAGCAGAGGTTCTGGGATGCTAATAAACTAAGTAGAACTGGAAACAGGAATGCAATCATTTATACTAGAAATGAGTAATACATTATTTGACATGATTTTGACAGTTGCCAGCTAGCACACTTGCAAATATTTCATGGGTATGGTTTGAAAGTTAGAAAATCCCAGGAACCACTTCCAATATGCAATTTGTATGCAACCACCTAGTTTTGGTCATTAGAAGAATTCACTAATGTAGATGTGCATCATTCCCATGCTAATTTGTCTCAGTGCCCAGGAACTTCTCCAGGAATTTTTAGTTTACTAGTGTAAGTTTGCCCTGACAGTCCAATCAATCTGGCTACTCATTTTAGAATTTAACTGTTCTCATTTTTACAGAGACTTGCATGAAAAATTCCATTTCTGGAATTCGGGATCTCTAATAACAAAGATATTTCCACTGTGCCATCTGGAACAAATTTCCACTGATCTGTCTTGTCCATTTCTCTGTATTGTATCATTATATCTCCTATTTTTAGAGCACTGGGAACCTAATTCATTTACAATTCCATCTGCATGAAACCTAAGACTTTCATCAGAGATAGGTTCAGGTGTAGGGTGAGCCTTATTTACCCTCCTCAGTCTTTGCATTCCAGACTTAAGTGAAGTTTTCTTTTAGGAATCCTTTCTAAAATCTACTGTACCTTATTTGTCTGACAATCTCCCTGATGTCACTAGTTTTTCTGGTTTTTACACCCCTCCAGGGTGACTGGCAGAGAAACTCAAAACATGCTGCCCGATGACAAAAGGCAACTTTGCAGACAATTGACCTGCTCTTCCCTGTGTAACTTATCTTGGCTCAGAATTTTTGGTCTAACAATGCTCTTTTACCATCTCAATCCAATGGGGAAACTTGAAAAAATGAGTCACCATTTCCAAGTTTGACTAGCATAACCCCAAGGCAAATGAGACTGATGAGATTAAGCAGGTGTCTTCAAAGGCAAGGAGCAGAAAAGGGAGCAGATAATTATCTTAAAGACATTAGAATTCCACTACTATGTACATTCAGAGACATTAACACATATTTATGTAGAGAATAGGATTGTTAGTGACACATTCTGATTTGTAGGGGATTGGTTTGGTTTGTAATTTTTTGCCTTTAAGAGAAGTGCTTCCAAACAGCAGGGTCAGCTGAACTGTCCAGAGAAAGGATTATCTAGATCTGCTTGAGTCACTATCTAGGCTCAAAATAAATGGAATCCAAGGACTAGGAAAGAAATACTATGCAAGACATCTGGTGTTCTAAATAATTTTGCATGCTATGGAAAGTAATACAACGAGTATCAAAATTGCCTAATATTGGTTGTAAGCAATATGAGAAACAGTTCTTGCATTTCCGAGTGCTGAAAGAAGGAAACATGCAGTGATGGATGCCATAAAATTTGAGGAAGACACCTGCAGTATAGCATTAGATGGCCTAAAATCTTCCGGTATGCATTTTTCAACTACAAATCTAGTGACTGATTCACTTTCAGGTAGATTGTGAATCCAGCATCAGCAGAACTAATGCAAGCAGCATTAGTAACAGTGTCACACTGGGAGAGAAGCCAGAATTTTTGTGCAGTAAAATCAGTATGATCGTAGTTGGCAAATGCAGACAGAAACCAACCGGTCAGTGAAATTCTATGAATTCCTGCGCATTGACTGTTTGTAGATGCTAACTCTGTTGTGAAAGTTAAGCAGTGCAGGCTTGCAAGGCTTAATAATTCATATGTATATTACAGCGAGAGGCAGGAGAAAATGCAATTATCCTGAGCACTGTCTCTGTACTTGGATTCCTGTCATGTCAGCTGGATTTAATGGGTAAGGGGGCTGCTGGGAATACAACCTTTCCAAACAGCTGCTCTAATGAGTCTGCTGATGTGTCCATTGTCCCCTTTCCTTTCTTTCTTCCCTCCCACGGGCTCCCACATGCATATGCCTGATAAGAATATTGGGATTGAAACAGCTTCGCCATCACCATATGCACCCTATGGTGTTCTGCATTCTGCATGCCACTTCTGCCAGGCAGCAGATTAGCCTTCATGCACTTCAACACACTTAATCTTTCTGAATAAACGTCCTCATCCTTACAGTTCATTCCTAAAGCAAATACCTAAATGCAAAAGAAAACAGCCCATTCCACCTGCATGACCAGCCATTAACACCACGCCCCTACGGCAAAGCTGATCTTAACTTGAGGCCCTGTTGCTACTGCTCCTGAAAATTGTTATTGATGCAGGAGTATTTTTACAGAGGAGCGCATTAGTATTGCTATTCCTGCT